TAAAACTGACATAATTTTTTATTTTTATTTTTATATATTTAATGACATCACCAAGACTGAATTGTAATAAACACCCAAGGCAGTAAAGGTTGTTTTTTAGAAAATAACTCTTTGTTGATTTTTTTTATTTTTTATTTTTGGTAAAATTGCAGCAATGACATTGGGTAATCAAACTGCAATTTGAAGGGTTAAAATCCTCAAAATTAGTTGAATATTTAAAGGATTCAGCAGGCTGAAGTTGTTTACCAGATCTGTGAAAAACAAAGCCCCAAAAAGTATGAATGTATACATTTTATAGCCACTTTAACAGGCAGATGTTTTGGTCCTCAAAGGTCACAAAAGGGCAGTGATTTTATTAATTTTTTCATAGTGTTCCCTTGATCTTTTTTCAAAATCCCCAAATTGAATTTCAAAATTTGTCAAGAGAGAGGTTTTACAACAAAATTTCATATCATTTAAACAAACAATGCTAAAATGGCGTCAAATGGACAAAAAAATCCCCAATGAAGACTGAAGGTTATGTACGTCTGTTTGTGCTTGACTAAAAATCAAAGTCATACCAATAGAGCATTTTGATTGGCCCATCAAACCGATAAAGCACTGTGATTGGCCCACCAAACTGATAGAGCGCTGTGATTGACACGACACAAAACTCCTAAGGCCAATGGTGGACCTGCTGAGGCTTCGAGAGTGGCCAGACCGACCTGCAGAACAAAGTCTTTTGCTACTGCTACCATCAATCTGGATTTGTAGAATAACAAAAAAATAAATAAATCACTACAAGGTCCGCAAATGGCCCACAAGCCACACTTAAGGCATCCTTTCTTACCCTTGTCTTTATAATTAAAGAAAAAAAAGGCTCTAGAGCACAAATCATTGGTTTACATGTGGGTTAGGCTTTTTTATTGCCCCACCACATAGAATACGCTTACCATAATGTTTTTGCCTGTGCCTCTGTGTTTGTAAAATATTTCTTGAAACTGTTTTTTAAATTAAACTTGCAGAAAGGAACCATCAGATGTATGTCTGCAACTGGTGAACTTTTGGAGTCAACCAAATTCAAGATGGCCACCACAACTGTCTTTACAGATTCCAAGAAACAATTTAACTCAGCTGAGAGAACAACTCTGAAGATATTGCAGAAAGTCTGGCAATATTGTATGCAACTACATAAAGTAATAATTTCAACGTTTGACCAAATGTTAGAAGTCTATTTATTTGCAACCTAAAAGCTATGTGCACTGTGAGCAGACGTTTTCATTGCCAGTTTTACTAGCAAAAGATTCCAGCAGGAAGCTGTTTTATTTGTGATCTGGTTTGGCTTAGCTATTTGAATTCAATCAAATCATTTGAGTTTGGTTCAACTCAGCATCTCCACAATGTCATTTATAGCATCAAAAACCTGCTCTGTGAAGATATTATTTGTCTTGAGATCAGCTTGGTTTAATTTAGACTTCCTGTCCAACGTTTTGCTTGCATGGATTCATGATTGGATAGCACCAGTGGCACCAGTTTCCCAGAGCCTGGCCCAGTTGGCACGGAGTTTAATCACAGAAGCTGTAGACGTGCCATGCCGGGGGGAATCGATGATGGCATGTCTGAGCCCTTTGTTGCAGTCAAGCTGCTGCTGAGGGTGTGATCACACATACAGCATGTTTCTATTATCCTCAACATGCAGAGGTTGACAAGTTGAATTTTTTTTTTTAGTTCACACCCTTAAGAATAGAAGTGCACAGCTGTAGTGTCTCCGTGGTTCTGCCTTGGTGATCTCTAAACTGAGAACGGCTGATATGTTTAGACGGCAGGGAGCAAAGAAATCTAATTTGTGTTGCAGTAACTTTATTTAGCGTGATGGACGTGTGTAGCTGCATCTTTCTGGTTAAGAGAACCACCTATCGCATGTCAATAATCATCTCATTATACCCCTAGCAGCTGTTCTTAGATGTGGCTACAGTGCAGAACAGTCAAGCACAATTATTTCTAACAGTTTGAAAAACATTGTTTCTCACCTTTGCAGCTAAAAGTGGAAACCGAAGGTGTCTGGCCACAAACTTGCTAATTATCAACAGCAACCACAGTTTTTTTTCTGTTGTTATAGAGCGGAGTTCACTGATAGTTGTCCCTCAAACTGTTATACTCTGCTCTCGCGCTTAAATGCAATCCCATTGCCAACTCCTTCCGAACCAGACAACTTCAGAATGAGAAACGGTGGCCCGGACTTAAAGAACGGATAGAGGACAGGTGCCTGGAATAAAGCGGGGAAATGGCGGCCTATCCAGGTCAATCCATCCATCACTGTGCAGTTACTCAGATGGAGGACAGCTTCCTGATAGAGGTCTGAGTGGTTTGGGATTGAGATGGAGGAGCGGGAGAGTTATAGCTCCCGAATCCCCTCCCTCCCCTACTGCTTTGAGGGAACCTTGACAAGGAAGACCTGCCCTGGCTTGTCACTATCAACTGATAAAACTGATTTTTTCCACTATGCACATATTCCAAGAAGTTGATATCTCAATTATCTGATTACAATATTACAATTAGCAGGTTACAGTAGGCTTTGGCAACCTGGGAATTTGAGCAGAGGGTGGTGATAAAACAGTGTTTGGATAAAGTGAACTTACACACACATATAGCTATAATGTTAAAACTGATACATTTTGATGCACAACACATGCAGAATAAATATATTTTAAAATACACAACAAACTATTTTCCAAAGTGCTACTACTAGTTTAGAAATCACTCAATGGCATGAGGCCAGAATACATGTTTGATCTCTTCCCTGTATATATGCCTAACAGGGCTCTGAGATCCTTCGGGAAACAGTCAGCTGGTAGAACCCGGGTTAGAACCAAACAGGTTGAAGCTGCTTTTAGCTGCTATGCTGCTCACAGATGGAATCAGCATCCTCGTGACTTCAAATGGCCCCAACTCTAGTAACTTTTAAATCAAAATTAAAAACTTGTACATATTCATCAGCCTTTGAATGAATGTTTCTGCACCTTCTGCACTGTAGCGGCTCACCCTTTAATTTTCATTTCTATTTTTAAATCTGAAATTCATTTTAATTGGGCTGTTATGCTGACTTTAAAACAAAAATTAACCCTAACCTGCCAAAAGTAAGTCTTACACCCATTATGAAAGCGAAAAGTCAAAATATTACTTGAAGAACTGTTTCTATATATTCCTGTTAAAGGGCAGTTGGTAGCACTGTTGCTTTGCAGCAAGAAGGTCTCTGGTTCAAATCCTAGCTGCAGCCTTTCTGTGCAGAATTAGCATGTTCTCCCAATGCATATGCAGCTTTTCTTTAATTGCTCTGGTTTCCTACAGATCAAAAACATGCATGTCAGGTTGACTGGGGATTAAATCATGCTAGGAGTAAGTGTGTCAGTGTTCTGTTTTCTCTGTGTGTCCCTATGACGGACTGGAGACCTGACTAGGGTGTCTACCGGCTCCTGCTCAAAAACTGCTGGAGTTAGCTCACTGTGACCCTACTGAGCATCAAGCTGCCCAGAAAATGAGTGAGAATTTTCAATTAAAGTCAATCTGTTGGGGAAATAATAAATATATGTTGAGGCTTAACTAACTCCTTGTGTGGATTTGGTGTAGATTAGTATCGCATCCCAGAGTTTTTCTCATTTTACATCTTATAGGGAGCCTAAGTCACGCCCATCTACTTCCGCATCATGGGTCCCCGGAATAAATGAATGCAAGTCAATGGTGAAAAAAACATTATTTTCTAACTTCGATTGTTGTGTGCCATGGATTTCACATATGATATCCGTGAATTTTAAATACGCACTTTGCTACCAAGAACGTGCTTATTTTCAAACAGGGGGGAAACATTATTTTAGGTTTTGTGTGAAAATAAGTCCAGGACTACAAATGCTCATCACGAAAGTGACATCATCGAACCAGACAAGGAGAAAACTGAAGGAAAATGGCAGTAAGTTCAGAGAACTTAAAATCCTTCCTTCAGGAGGAAAAACCCACCGTAAATGTGGCCATGTGGTGGGTGGCGGCTACGCTAGAGGAGAGGAGATTATGTGGTGACGTGCAACGTGCTGATGTCTAGTGTGTAGTCATGCTAATAACAAACTTTTACAAGCTGATAAATCTCAAAGTATCACAGAATATGATAAGATTATCACTTTTAAGGATTTCTGACTAATCATACATAATTTTTGAAAGGGGAAAACTCTGGAAAGATAATTTAAATGATGGCAAAAAAGAACCTGCATATATAGGACTAAAATATGGGGATGTTTGAAAAAAAGTTAAACATCATTACTTTGAATTATATTCTAACCCTTACTGCTCCAAATAAATACAAAAAGATACATTTTTATATTTTTTCAGGCCTTGGAAATTAAATAGATACACTTCAGTACCACCTTACTGAGAAAACTATCCAAAAAGCAGAAATAATTACTGACACTGGTACAGATCGGAGAAAGCAGAATAGGCAAACACAGAAGCTAATGATGGGTTGAAATTGTATGAAGTAGAACATAAATACGTAATACATGTCCTGGCAATGGTAGGAGAAGAAAAAACCTGTCAGATTTTAATTTTGGATCTTTTAAAAGCTCTCTCGTTAACAGGCACTACCGTCTAGCTTGAGGAGGTTTGATACAATACTTCAGTGGTAACTTTAAACATTCTTCAAAGACAAGAATGTGTAATAGAAAATGGAAAGATGGTGTACCGGAAGAGTGTAAATAAAGGTGAGGACCATAACAAGAGTCTGAAAGAGAAGTAGAGAATATAAGGAAAAGAACATTGAAACAACTACAGCAATTAAGAACTGGGACCAGGTGTGTGGAGGGGCCGAAATACCCAAGAATATAAAACCAAGAAATTCTTCTTCATATAAAATGTACGGTATGATGAGAATGTGCCGAGAAAACAGTTGTGGATGAAAAGGGTTGCTCTGATGACTGAAGAACTGATTCATCAACTAAGTTAACTTCACCTCCTTGGATAAAAACTCGTGTTCTTACCTGTATGCGTCCTCTGGTGGGCCTTTAGATGGGAACTCTTGGTGTACACCTTTCTGCAGCCATTGAACTGACAACGATGGATCCTCTTCTTGTTTTCTGGTAGATCTCCAACCCCAATCACACATGCTGCCCCCTCATCTTCGTCCTTCACTTGGACGGGAAGTGTGTTCCCTGCCACCAACCGAGCCGCACTGAGTCCCACTTTTCTGGCCACCAGCTTCAACATGAGCGTCCCGTCAGGAGAAGCTGTCAGTGTCTGGTTGGGTTTGACGAGGTGTCGGCCCAGCTCTGGCGAAGATGGGGGAGTCAGGGAGGTGACAGCGCTCAGCTGAGCCTGGTGGACCCCTTCTATTCCCTCTACCATTTCTAGCTTCTGTCCTTTAGGCTTTAGGTCCCTTGAGAGAGCTGAGTTCTGCCGCATGGGGCAGAGGACCACTGGAGGTGGGCTTGGGGGTTCGGGGAGGTTGGGTAGGCTGGGGATAAGGGTATCAGTTAGCTCTTCCTCGCCATCCTCTTTAAGGTAGGCTGGAGTAAGGAGACCATCAAGATCTTGATCAAAGAGTTCTGAAAGACGCTTGGGCTCCGTCTGCAGGTAACGTTCCAATTCCAGGCAGGTCTGCGGGAGAAAAAACACTTAATTTAGACTCACTTCAGGCAAGTTCACACGTTTAGACTCCTGCACTTAAAATGCCGCGCTCTCACATCCCACTTAACAATTTCAGCAGCCTTCAGATTGTCTGATATTTCTTTACAAGCTGCAGGGAGAAAAACCTCCTCAGTGCCATCCTCTCACTTGGTTGGCACCCTGCACGACTGTCACTTTCAAACACGCATAGACAGTCACCAAGACGGCCGATTAAACCCTGATTGATTGCGACCACTACAGCGCGGAACCAAAGTAAGGCACGAGAAGAAAACTGAGCAGAACTCCTATCAAGCAACGTTTTACGGAGCCTCGGCAAACCATGTGTGCGCCTGCATCCAGTGAGCTGAGATAGGAAGATTTATTCAGCTGTAGTTATGGTCTGCTTCATCCCTATTACTCCAAACACCTCTCCCTGCAGAGAGCAAATAAAAGGCTGCATCCCCGATTTGTGTGAACTGGCATCCTGAGAAGTCTATTACTTTACAACAAGCTGGCGAGATTCTGAGCAGCGAAGGAGCTGGCGCGGGTAAGAGACGCTCCGTGTCCAAGGATGAAGCTATTATGTCTGAATGGACAGTGCCGGTTTGATCCCAAGGATCGTTGTGTTTCGCTTGTAGCCACTAACCCATTTTGACAGCTCAGATGGAGGCTAGCAGCTCCACCGGGTGCGTGCAACTCACCGCTTCATTTGTGTGTAAATAGGCACTGACAGACGAGTAGCTGGTTCCATTATCAGGAATAAGGTTTCACAGACTGAACACATCAGAGACGTTTACAATCTCGCAACACCCCTCTTTCCTTGTTTGCACCTTCTAAAAATAGGAAGGCGTCTGTTGCTAAGGGAGCACATTTTCTCCTCTAAGCAATTTCTTTCGAGGAACAAAAAGGGATGTGGAGTGGGTTGTTTGTGATGAAATCAAATTAAAAAGCTGCCCGGGACTGTCTCTGCATTGAGAAGCGGAGATAATGTACCACATCTTTTCCTTCCACCGCACGTCCGTTTCTTTTTCTGTCATATACTTCTTTCATGCACAGCGGTACCTTTAAAGTCTTTACTACCTCTTTGGTGGCTTTAGACAATAAAATGAAAGAAACTTTTCTTTCCTTTTTCCTACTTTCAAAGCACAAATAGGTATTGAAAGTGTGGCGATGTGATAAGACTGTTACAGCGTTGGAAAACACACATTTCTTTGCAGCATTATCTGCGACATCTTTGAACCTCTCAGCTGGCCTCTCCTCAGTCTTTGTTTTGCCATTCTGCTTCAACGCAGATCAATTTCCTATATTCAGCCTTTTCTTCTGTTCCTTTCCTCCCAGGTGAGGACTAACTATCTTCTAAAACCAGCCTGTCGAAGGAGACTTTATTCAGCAAAATGCTGAGGACTGCAAACCAAGGTGTGTGTGTGTGAGTGTGTGTGAGGTACTTCAAGGGAGCAGAAAAGAGGATAGAAATGGATAAGTGAAAGAAAGTGGCGATGGAGGAGACGGGAGGCGGTGGAAGATGAATGATGGAAGGAAGGACAAGGCTAAGCAGGAGAGCAGAGAGTGAGGGAAGGTCTTGACTTCATTTTCACCGTAGGGGGGGAATCTTTTTGGAAGTGTGACATTTGGCATAACAGGATCCTGTCAGCGGGCACGCCACGGGCCCCGCACACAGGAAAAGAGTTTATGCACGCCAAATGTTAGGTTGCAACCCGTGGTGCGGTGTGACACAGAGTGCGATGGACTACGTATGTACCATACCTACAGGTTAGCGTGCATACAGAATTAGAGACAATGAAAATAAAAGAGGATCCAGGTGAGGTGGCAGGAACGACAAGATTATCTTTTCTTTTGTTTGTATTCCTCTGTCTATGCCCCCATTACTTCATCATGCCTCTTCCCCTTTTCTTCCTTGCTTCCCCCTCCTCCCCTAGGTGGTGACATTAACATTATTGAAGAGAAGGTCATGCAGCTTATCAGCACTTCCTGTGAGCTTGGTGTGTAGTGGTCCTAATTATGCAAGTTTGACTGCATATGCACATCATTTTTCAAGTAATTATGCCATTGCATGTGCAGTTATGCAGCTCTTGTATATGGTTTGTGCAAACACCTACGCACATGCATAAGCACGTCTTCTCGCCGCTCTCATGGCACCAAGTGGGCAACTTGTGTGTGGACAAGAAATTACGGGCAAAACACACAGCACATCGAGCCACGATAAAGGAATGTGCACGGCTTAAGTCCATTTGGACAGATGCCGATCTGGAAAGCCACCGCCGCCTGGCTCCGCACAAAGCCAAGGTCCATTTCCTAAAGGGCTTTTGGGATGAGTCCTTCACGCCAGCCAAGATAAGCTGAGACGATCCTGTGGCTGTTCCAGCAGCCCCACCTCCTCTGGCAGAAAGAATGTACCTTCCATTGTGACAAAAAATAATCACCTGATGATTTATGGCAAAATATTGGCAGACAGGGTGATACAACTTTCCTAAAAAGGTCTTTGTTCTCTTAAATGTTTCGAGTTAACCCAGACGGTAAACAACAAAGGACAATAAAGGCTGTTTTATGAAGATTGGACATATTTAAAATAAAAAAAAAAGTAGTTAAATGTATGTAACTGTGTTGGCACTCTCGTGAGTTTGTATCTAAGAATACAAATTAAAGTCTCCTTTACCAGCACGACAATTTATTCATGATTGTGATGACTATGGCTTGTTTCTACAATCACAGTGAAGTCAGATTGATAAAAATAATAGGAGACCACCAACCAATGAGCGTCTAAGATTCATTTATACTGAATCAATCACTGGAAAGACCTTTGAACAGAGTAGAGGCCGACTGATATGTTCTTTTTTTTTAGGCCGATGCCGATATTGATTTTTAAAGAATTTTATTTCCGATGGCTGATATCTAAAGCTGATTATTAAGGTCTATATATATATGTGTGTGTGTGTGTGTTTGGCACCACATTGATTGTGAAAGACAACTGTAAACTCACTGTGTGCAATATGAATTAAATAAGTCCATAAATAAAGGCACGAAACATTTTAACCCTCTGAAGGCAGGCGTTAAAGATTGGCAACGTTAAAACCTACCTACCTGATTACTCCACATATATATTTTATAAGCATTTTTTTAACTCAGAAGTATCCAGTCCAATTCAATTTTATTTATATAGAGCATTTAAAAACAGCATGTCAGCTGACCAAAGCACTGCACAGAGTTAATCCTATAAAGCCATTAAAATTCACATACACACACATTAAACACAGATTAAAACTGTCATAAAATAGAAACACCTAAAATCAAAACAAAAGTTAAAACAGCCAATAAAAAGAGAAGTTAATAAAAAGAGAAGTCACTAAAAACAGAAGAGTCACAGCATAAAAGACCGATCATTGACCAAAAGCTAAATAAAAAAAAAGCGTCTTCAGGCTGGATTTAAACTGTGCCAGTGAAGAAGCCTGGCGTACCACCAGAGGGAGCGCGTTCCAGAGCTTTATGTTTCATTGTAGGGACTTTGAGTAGTAGATGGTCAGCAGACCTTAGTGACCGGGGGGGGGGGGGGGGGGGGGTGAGCAGTTCTGACAAGTATAAGGGGGCTAGACCATTCAGGGCTTTGTAGGTAAAAGTTAGAGCTTTGTGTTGCATTCAAAATTGCACAGCAATCCAGTGTAGATCAGCCAGAATGGGAGTGATGTGACAGCGTCTATTTGCATTGGAAAGAAATCTGGCTGCAGCATTCTGGACTTTCTGCAGACGATTTAGGACGGATACATTTACATCAATTAGAACTGAGTTGGAAAAGTCAAGTCTGGAAGTGATAAATGCATGGATAACAGATTCTGTGGCCTCTTGAGAATGGGCTTTAGGCGGGTAAGGCGACGAAGCTGGAAGAAGTACCCCTGAAGGACTTAGCTGTTCGTCCTTTTATCAAAACTTATTTTGAGCCTGAGAGGGTTAAAGCGCATCCCACAAGCGGCTCATTGCACCGTGCCACAAAATATGGGATTCGATGTTTTTGCTTTTTGGAAACGTCGATTTCCACAATCAACATAGGGCTAGACAGGAAATTACACACGGTTTCAGTCTGGTAATTTTCAAAATAAAAGACTATTACAGAGATGTGATTTATTATCTATGCGGATTACGTCAATACAAGTGACGTAATGGCTTGTTTACTTTCAGCATCTTTCGAGCGCTACAGTGTGTTTTTCATGGCTTTAACCCTGGCAGTGAAGAGGAACAACATCATATATGACATGAAAAAGAGATTTCAAACGTGATTCCTTCTTTTTGGTCTAATGGCGAATGACATTAACAAACCTCAACCTTTTCAGTCTAGAGGGTGTTTGTGCAAGTCCAGTGAGGAGGACGACGGAGAAGCCGCTCCATGGTTCAGACTTCCCCGGTGTGGATTGACGCGCTGCAAAGGGTTAGGTGGAGTAGATGGAGTAGGGTTAGGGTTGGGGTTAGTAAACCGTCCCGCTGCCGTTCTGTTCCACTGATGCTGTCAGTTTTTCCAGTGATTTGAGGTAAGAGTCATGCACGACAAAATTCTTTAAAAACGCTGTTTTTAAGGGTTGCTGTAATTTCCAAATTATGCAAAATGACATTTATTTCCTTGTGCTGTTTACATGGGCTTGGGTAAGTTACGACACCTCGACACAAAACATGACGTTCTGTTGCTAAAGCAGCTCTCTTAATTAGCTGTTTTACATTAATTAATTCCTACGCCCCATTAATGATGCCTCTGAAGCATCTTGTTGGCAACCTGTTTGTGCGAAAGGTTAAATGCACTAAAAAAACAAGTCATTTTTTATGTAATAAATTAATATATCATTAAAAATATCTAATAATTAAAACCTTTAAGGGGGAGTACTTTCTGCAACAAAAAAAATGAAGGAATAAAGTTATTAAATTTGCATTCACCGTCTATTTCTCTAATGTGTGATGTGTTGGGCTATGCAGTTTTTACATTCTGTTGGTTT